GTTAGTAGGAAATACAAGTTTTATATGATAAAGTAAATTTCGGCTAGCAAGGTAATATAAAGGTCTTCTCATATGATGGGAAAGGGTGCACAACCTTAAAGCTACAATTAACATTTGTTTCCACCAAAAACTGAGAAGCTGCCACAAAGCCAGTCACTGGAGGCTGTATCACTTACACACATGAATCAGAGGTACTTTTACTTGCCTACATTTATTCTTTTTTTGTATACAATCATTTTCATAGACTTGTAGGGGGTTTAAGGACCTCAAAAGTTATTTAGTATATCTTTATTATCTCTATCCAAACTCTCCAAGCAGATGACTAGCTGTGCTCCATTTCATCATTATCAGTGAATGGAACAGAGCCAGGTCCAGGGGCACTGTTCAGGCAGGGAGGTACAACCAGGCAGGAAGTTTTGACTGTTATTCAACCCAAATCTCACTGTTTTCAGAAAAAAATGTAGAAGAATAAATCACCATCCTATTTACCACAAGACTTGATAAGTTAAGTATCAGCATAGGTAAATCAGGAATCAGTGAACCTTCATCTGACTGTAAGTTCTTGGAAAGCCAAAAGCCAGGTGAGGTTATGCAAAGCAGCTTTTTATCCATGGCTAGAGCTTTTATTTGTAGTCAAAAGCCAGATTTTCTTATATTATGATTTCTCCTACTGTGAATTTCTCCACCCACCTACCCCTCACCCCAGAAAAGAACAGAACAAAAAAGTCCTTAGGATGTACATGAAAGAAATTGTGGGCATGTGCTCCAAAGCACACAGTTCTTTTTCTTGGTCGCACCTGTCATGACTGTAAATTCATGTCATTTAAAAATAAATGTCTGCCTGTCTTCCTCATTGAAATGTAAGCTCCATGAAGGCAGACCCCAAGTGTGTCTGGTTCATCAGCATATTCCCAGTATCAAGCATAACATTTGGCACACAGCAGGCTCTTTATACCTAGAGAAGCAACAAATGCACTTGAAAATCATTTCAGTCCAACACTCCTATTCTGGGGCTATGAAAATGGAGTCTATAAAAGTCATTCTTGGAAATAACTTGCCCAAGATTGTATAACATGTTAATGACAAAGCCAGGATTATAACTGGATTCTTTATTGCCCATCCACATTCTCTGTCCATTACGACACAGAGGTTCTTGTATCTAATATCCTGGGCAAACAACACTACTACCGATGAGTAGGGTACAGAAATATTTCTGATCTAAACATCTTTTGGTTGGCTGCCTGCCTCCCCGTGTTCTTTACCAGTTGGAACATAGAGACCCTCCTATAAACATGCCTGGTTTATACATACTTTATGTAGGACTCCAAGAACAAAACCCAAAACAGGATTCTATAGCCAGAGCAAACAACAAATTGATTCTCTCCTATGAGTGTTAAGTTTTACAGAGGCTAAGCTGCAGATGCTGGCTGAATTTCTACGGTTCAGCTACTACTAACTCAAATATTATGCTAAGCAGAGCTTCACTTTGTATGGCTTTTTAAGTTTTATCTTAGGGTTTCTTTAAAGCAAAGATTCAAAAAATAGAGCTTCCCCTGAGCACATGAAAAAAGTAAATGTAAATGTTCAGGGAGCAACGAAGGTGATTTAAAATTAGATTATGGTGATGGTTGCCCAACTCCATAAATTTATTTTTAAAATTTTTTTAATTCAGACCCTTAAAATGGATAAATATCATAAATTATACTTTAATAAAGCTGTTAAAAAAAATAAGTGTGAAAATGAGTCAGACAGTTGAAGCACTTCTTTTAGAAAACATTTGGTATCAAAGCTGTAGAGACATATCCTCATACTCTTCTAAGCACAAATTCTATCTACTCCAATCATGGTTTACCTATAAGGTCAAAAGTTTTTCCTTCAAATTTGGTAAAAATAATTTAGTAGACTAATATAAATATGTGCAAAGACCCAATCTCCATTGATGTAGCACTAAGAGATACTGACTCATTTGATTATCTGCATGAATGGTCTACAGATATATTTGCTTAATTAAGCATAGCATTCTCATCCAAAACCTGCCATTAACTAGCCATTGGGTTTTGAGTAAGCTATATACATTTCCAGGGCTCAGTTTTCCCACCTATATCATGTGTCTCCATGGACCAGATTAGAGTAGTATACAATATATTAAAAAGAATAATAACTGCTATCATCTAATGAATAACCACAAAGAAGCCACATTTTTAGGTAAATTATCAATCTCTGAGGAAGGTAGTATGAGCCACGTTTTTGCAGATGAGGAACCTGGAACATGAGAAGTTTGACCACGGCCCCATGGTTATTTAGTAATAAACCCAGGATTCCAAACTGTCCAGCTCCAAAACCTGTATTCATTCTCTATTGCTCATTAGACCTTGTGCTTTTGATTTTATCAGATGTGGGCATGAATCCTGACCCTGCCTTTACTATGCTAAGTCAGTCATCTTCTCTGAGACCAGTCCAGTTTCTTCATCTGTAAATATGAGATTACTAATACTTAACTCCCAAGGTTGTTGGGAAGAGTAAATGAAAGTCCTTCCCTTATACTTAGAAACCATTCAATAATAGTCTTTCCCATCCCTCTCCCACAAAAGTTCCTTCCTGTGTTAAAAAAAGAAAAAAATCGATAAATTCTATGACTTCCCTGTAGCCTACCTGGATAAACCTCACTGGGACTGAGTTCTATCAAAAGCAATTAAAGTGAACACAAACAACACAGCATTAGTCCTTTGCTATCAGTCCCTGGCTCTGTGACGGAGACTGTCAACAAGAGTGTCAACTTCAAGGGGTGGGCATCTGTCCACAGGAACTGAGCTGAGGTCACAGACTTGTCTCACTCTGCCCTACAAACAGATGTCTGGGTGACAACTCTTAGTCACTGCAAACCAGGGTTAAAGCCAAACCAGGTGGGAAGCTCTGTATCTCCTTTCTATTCCACTGGGCCAGGCATTCATTCCCTAAGACAATACCTCACTGACCATAATTCAAAATAACTAGTTTTCCCCCAGGGTACTATTTTCAACATAATGCCTTTATTTTGATGATGTCTACTTATTCCACAAGCAGAAAAAAAGCGTATCTATAATAGTGATTTGTCAGCAGGAAACCTGTTTGATTTTGCAGATTAGAATGTGCACCTTCAAATGTTTACCTTGCGAGTAACCTGGTGAAAACTGATGTAATGTGGAGCTCTAGTGGTGGCAAGAAAGTAAAGCAGCCATTAGTGAGAGCCAACAAAAAGCCAAGGAAATCACCATTTATCATTTATTTATGTGTTATCATGGTAAAATCACCATTTATTATTAAACTAATAATGTTAAGAAGAAAATGGTTCAAATTTATATTCCAACATAATATAAGGTAAGCTCTAACTATAATGGCTTTCCTCCAGATTACAAATTAGACCTCAACAACTAACTTACATCAAACATCATGAAGCAGATTTAACCACAAAAAACAACTCAGTGCTGTGGTTGTCACTTTTCTACTTTTTACCAAGTTCACTAAGAATCCTATTAATTAAACAGTAGGTACTTTTCAAATAGCTAACAAGAATCCTGTATACAGAAAATTCTGGACTCTAAATGGTATGATCAGTGAAGTCCTGTACCAACTGTCTTGGGAATTTAAATAATCCCTACAGGCTGATGAGGTTGTTGGAAGTTAATTCCTGCACTAGAAAAGTGCCTTCCTTGAATTTCTAACTTCTGAGGTCTTTCCCAACTTAAAACAACCAAAAATGAAACCTACAATGTCAAACATTAACTCTTTGTTTTCTTGTTATCTAATGTATACGTCTTCTCAATTCAAAGGGCTTTCTTAAAAAAAAAAAATACAGCTCCATTATGGTCAACAATGTAGCAGAACATAAATAATGAAATTTTTATGATATACAACCAGGAGTTGACATTTGAAACTTCTAAACATGGTGCCTGGTTTAGCTGTATCAAAATAAGTTATCATGAGAAAAAAGGAAAAAAAAACCACCTCAGAATATGAAAATATACAGGATCTAGCCTTTCCACATGTAAGTATCTTAGGCATCACGTTCCTGAACATTAAAGAAAATGTAAGACTCACTTGTCTATAAGTGATGATGGAAGAAATGAAAATGCTCATAAATGCATTAGCAACATTTATCTGAAATAAAAATCTCAAGACTCATGGGAGAAAAAAAAAAGACTCATGGGAGATTTTCATGGCTTATATCAGTTGAATCCACTAGATGTTTCTCAATGGACACATTCAATGGCTCCTAAACTGTTAGATCTACAGTTGACTGACTACCAAGCCTCAGAGGTCTGTGAATGTAGATTTAATGATTACACAGGGGTTTTTATTCATTGATGTCTCTTTTTTCCATCCTTCTATTAATATGCTGTCATTAATACAGTTTCCTAACACTATACAGAAAAATGAAAAGATATAACAGCCTTTTCTGAGAAGTCATCAAGAATGCAATAGTTTGAAATGAGAAGCTCAAGATAGAGAACTAATTTCCTTTCAGCCCTCATCATTAGCTATACGGTAGGAGAGAGAACATTTTTGATAGAAAAGAATAAAAGCAGGTGTGGAAGTTAAGGTAATTTACTAACATAACCATATGTCAAAGGGAACAAATGGAAATCTGTACTAATGCAATATTGGCCACCAGAGAATTCAGAATCTAACATGTTCTGCAGTCCTTTTCACCACATACATGAAAACTGAATAAAAATGAAGAATATTTTTCAGTCTGTGAATCTAAGAACTTTGTCTTTGTATGCCATCTTGCCTGTATTTTCCTTGGTGATTATCTCCTCTGCTTTCCCATAACAGGCCTTGGTATGCTGCTTAAAATAATATTTGGGGCTTTGTTTGCCATTCTTTTGACTGAGACATGCTGATTTTATTAAAGTAAATGGGGCCTGCATTCTTTCTTTAATATTATTACAGGTAGACTTAACAGATACAGGACTTTGCTCTGCTATGGAGGAAACCTTGTTAAATAAGTTCCATTTTACCTGCTGGGCAGTTGCACTCTGAAGGTGCTTCTCTCGCAATTCTTATTTTAGCCATATGTTCATAGGATTTCTGTAGGAAAAGAAGAGGATATTATCATCAGTAGCATGGTAGAGAAATGGATTCTTCAGGAACTCTCTGGTCATATGCTTGATTTACCAGCATTTGAGAGCCTGCATAACTAACATTTATATATGTACTTGGACTTTAGTCAAAAGGTAACAGTACCCAAGCCCTAAAAAAAGAAATGACTACTGACACCGTATAAAGACTGCTGGACTTGTACAATATCTTCCTCCATTCTTCAACTACCACCACTCTCCTCTTTCTCCCTCAGCTCAAGCATATGCAGTCAATGCGAAAACCTGGCTTTAACACGTTGTAGTTTTAGGTAAGCTATGCGCTTTAAAACAGCCACTATCTTATACATGAAGGTCAACTGCTTATCACGTTGTGCCGCAACCACCGCCAAACAGCCTCTGTTGGAAGGGCAAGTTCCAGAAAACCCCCTAACTCTAGTCTAATGCCCTCCCTGGTTGTGATAAATGTCACCTAGATTCCTTTCAACTCTCAACTGCAATGGCTCTGTGTTCATAAACACCTCTACCACTGCATCCTTTATAAAAAATTAAGCTGCAATTTTTTTCTTTTTAAACATTGAAAATGAAAACATTTAATGTAGGAAATGATCAATCTAAAAATCACGTATCAGATTATTTCACTTTAAAGAGTGATTACCATTTGTGTATTAATAACACCTATGGCCCTAACCTTCTTATAACATATGAAGGACATAACAGATGTTATCTCTGGAACATTCTCCACAAGATTGGAAAAGATTCTTATGTCACTCTAGAAAACTATAAAGAGATAAAATGCCACCCTGATATTCTGGCCACCCTTCCCTCTTTCAGTCCTTCCTATATGTTCAGCATGCAAACATTAAGAGCGAGGGAAGATGATAGAGACAGGGTGATATTAAAGGATGTGCATATACAAATATATGCTACAGTGAGCATAGAAGGTGGCCTAGCGTATGCACACCCAGCCACACCAAGTATGCATACAGTAAGGATAGAGGCTGGTCCTGTACACAGAATCACGCCTGTGCAAGATATTATCCACGTGCAAAATACCCCAGCCTTTCACACCTGAGCCAGAAGTCGCTCCACTTTCTCTTGCACCATTGCTTTGAGCTGATCCAGGCCATCGGGAAGCAGATGGATGAAAGGGTCCCCTTTTGCGGATTCCAGAGCAGCGATCCTCGCCTGGAGGTCGTTGGTTTTCACCCCCAGGTACAGACAAGACATCACAGCCACCACTGACAGAAGGGCCGCCAGGGCGGTGCACGGGGGCACGGTCCAGACACAACGCTTCCCGGCGGGGCTCTGGTCCTCAGAGCCTGGTTCCCGACCTTTCCCTGCATGCTTCTTCACCAGCATCGTGGAGGGATCAGCTGCCTCGGCTTCGCCTCCCACTCTACCACTTCCAAGAATTTTGAAAGGAAAGAAAAGGGACGATTCCTCCAAAGTTCAGCCTGGGTGGCTGCACAACTAGTTGGCGGAGATCGAGCCGGGGCTCGGAGATGGAGCACCGCTTTCCTCAGCGCCGAGACCAGCAGACGTGGACCATCCTCTCCGCTTTCTTCTCTCCGCCCAGCTGGGAGTGAAAAGCACCCTCAGTCCCGAGGACTGGCGGCCAAGAGGTAAAAACCGGAATGAAACCCTCCCGGCTGGCCCTCCTGGCCCCTCAGAGGACGGACACCTCCGAAGGGGTCCTCGAGAGCGGCCGCCCAGGGTCCGAGGAACAGCGCGAGAGGCGCAGCGAGGGGCCGCCGCTCGCCCTCGCCACCCAGCACCCGACCTGTTGCGTCTCTGTTAGTTTGCCTTATTTCTACCTATTCAGTGTTTTTCCGCACGCCGACCTGTTTGCCACCTAGATTCAGTTCCAGGCAGAAAGGCTGAGAGAGACCGCGAGAGCGCAGCGCAAAAGGGATGCTAAGGGGGAGAAGAGAGAGAGGAAAACGAAATAACCCAAAGAGCAAATTCGAGTGGCCGGGATTAAGTCGCGGCTGCCCGAAGTATCTCCGCAGCCTCGCGGGTGCGAGCCTTAAATACCCTTCGGGATGCTCGTGTGTGAGTGTGTGTGAGTGCGCGCGCGCTCCGAGCGCGACGTCCCTCCCCCGACCCCCCTTCCGGCGCCCGGCCTCCAGCCCTGGGCTCCCGCAGCATTGCTCCCCCCTTCCAAAGCCTCGGCAGAAGCCCGCCGCATTAGCATAATGTATTCACCTTCGCCCTGCCCGCGGGCTCCTCCGGAGACCCTCCAAGGGGGCGGAGAGCTCGGGAGGGAGCTGAGCGGGAGGTCTGCATTAGCATAATACATGCAAATAGCGGAAACGGCCACCGCGATTGGAGGGGAGCCTGGCGACCCCTCCCCCTCCACGGAGTAACTTCAGCGTCCCCTAAGGCCACATCGCCCGCCTGGGCGAGGGGCTGAAGCGGGGTCTACTGTGGGGAAGGCGGTAACTCTGGCTTATCCTGACGCGGCCCAACGCCCCCTCTTTATCCCTGTTAAATATGGAGAAATGGCCTCCAGGAGGGAAGAAGTGAAGCAGAAAGCTCTAGCTCTCCAGATCTTCACTCAAAAGCAGCAGCGGGAGCTATTGCGATCTCGCTCTGGTGCAACCTTTCCCCCTCCTTCCTCACATTCCCACATGCCCCGAGGCGAAGTGTCTGACTGACGCCCGAGGTAAATGTCCCCACTTCCCTTCTCTTCCCACGGCCGCGCTGCAGTCTCCGACTAGGGGAAGTTTTCTCTCCCCTCCCCCAGTTTCCTTCTGTCTTGATGGGGCTGAGTCTCCTCCCCGCTCGGTGTTCCTAGTCTGTACTAGGGTGCTAATGCGTTTTCCTGATTCCCCGTTTTGTGGGATTGAAAAAGGGAGCGTGGAGGTACACACATTTCTCAGGATTTAGGGAAGGACTGAAAATGAGGTCAGTTTTTCCTCTTACCTGACTCTCCGCCCTCTGGATCAAATTACAAGTTCTCTAATGGGATTTTTGAAAGTAGGTAATAAGTAGCATTTTACATCTAATTGATTTGGAAAAAAAACTCACCTTTTACTCCAAAAAAGTCCCTTCTTATCTCCTCCTCACGGGAAATAACCATATATTTTTCTTATCCTTCTTAATCAAGCTAATGTCAGGTCGATGCTCATTAATGTCAACGATCAAGGAAATACTGCACTAAGCTCATCTTTCACAAACGTAAAGATATTGCTAGGTATGAAGCAGAGTAAAAATGTTTCATCATTTGTTGATGGAGAATACAGAAATGAAAAAGGAGTAGAGGATGAAACAGACACAACATCGGAGGAAAACAGTGAATTGTATTATAAAAGCAAAAGCAAAATTCCTTACAGTTGTATTACACAGTAGTCTCAAAGGGTGGTCCCAGACTGACAACATCATCAACTGAGAGCTTATGCAAAATTCAAATTCTGGGACCCCTCCCTACACCTACTAACTCAGAAACTACTACTACTAATGATTCAAAAACAGAGATGTGTGGGGAGCCGGGGTGGCTCAGATGGTTGGGCGTCTGCCTTCGGCTCAGGTCATGATCCCAGGATCCTGGGATTGAGTCCCGCATCGGGCTCCCTGCTAGGCAGGGAGCCTGCTTCTCCCTCTTCCTCTGCCTCTGTCTCTCTCTCTCTCTCTCTCTCTCTCTCTGACTCTCATGAATAAATAAAATAAAAAAAACAGAGATGTGTGTTGTAAGGAGTCCTCCTGGTGGTTTTGATGCAAACTTAAGCTTGAGAACCACTGGTGTAACACTTTACAAAATTATTTCAAATATGTTTTCTCATTTGAACCTCATAACCCTGTGATGCCGGTAAGGAATTATTGGCCCCATTTTATATATAAGGAAAAAATTTTCAAGTCACATTTAATTGTGATTAAACGTGTTTCCAAGTAATAGCACCCAAGGAGTAGGTATAAATTTTTTTAATATGTCAACTCTTTCTGATTTTCCAATTACCTCTCTAACTATTCCTTGCTCTCTTTTGCAGGTGTTTTCCTCTGCCTGTTCTCTAAATGTTGGTGCTCCTTAGGTCTTTATCTTATGCCATCTTCTAACTTTGTACTCAATCTCCAGTGGTGCTCTCAATTACCATCCATAAACTGATGAGTAATAAATCCATATTGTAAGCCCAAACCTCTCTCCCAAGCTCAGACCTATATAGCCAACTGCCTGTTTGCTAATTCTACTTGGATGTCTCATAAGCAATTCAATTTAACCTGCATCTTACCTCCAAACCCTATTTTTTTCTTTGTTTCCCATCTCAGTAAATGCAGTTGCCATCTATATGGTGTCCCCAAGCCAAAATACCACCAATAACCCTTGACTTCTGCCTTGTCCTCCTCTCCTCATCTACCTTAATCCCTTCAATATTTTCTATTGTCCTTAGGGTGGAAATAATGTATCTTACAAATCACCACCTGGGGTCTGTCACCTCACCTTCCTCATTGCTCATCTTCCCCCTCACACTCTCCATGCCAGCTTCTCTAATGAAAGTGTGGAGACAGAGAATGAAGAACTTTCTTTGGGGTAAGGCACTGCTCTTTTGAAATTTCAGTGGAAAGGCCACTTTGTGTGTTGACTGATGTTGACAGTAGGTCACACATTTAATTTGGATGATGCAGTGTTCTTCTATCATGCTTTATGGAAATTGGCCCTGAGAAGGTTAACAACTCTTTCAAGCTTTCAGAACTGTCAGACCTTAGTAGACAGAGTTGGAATTTTGTGGATTTGGGATCTTTAATCAGAGGATTCGTTTTGCTTTATTTCTTTGGTGGGCACAATACCCCAGAAATGTACCAGTCATTAGCACTAATATTTCAAAACCTAGTAGATTTTCTGCATCAAGCCCAGAGAAAGCATGGATCAAGAAAGTTCTGGGGATCTAAACCCATTTTGTTCTATAGATTCACCAGGGCACAGTTGTTGTTTTGGTTCCTATGTGGAAAAGGATTCAAAAAGTAAAAATAACACTAAAAATGATGCAGTCCAGCTAACTCTGATTTGCCTAAGACTCATATCAGTAGTAAGAAAAGGCAAGCAGCTGGTTGCAGAATAGGTGTGTGATTGGAAGAATAGTAGACCCCTAAAGATGTCCACATCCTATTCCCCAAAACCTGTAAATGGGGAATGTTTGGATTTGCAGATGTGATTAAGTTAAGAATCTTGAGATGGGGAGGTTTCCTTCTACCATGTGGGTGGCCCCAGTGTAACCACCAGGGTCCTTATAAGAAAGAGACAGAGTCTCATAGTAAGAGGAGATGTGACCACAGAAGCAGAGGTCAGAGTGATATGAATACTAGCTTCAAAGATGGAAGCAAAAGAATATGGGAAGTCCCTAGAAGCTGAAAAAGTCAAGGAAGGAATTCTCCCCTAGAACCTCCAGAAGGAATGTAGCCTTACTAACCCTTTGATTTTAGAACTTCTGACCGTTAAAACTATAATTAATACATTTGTGGGCGCCTGGGTGGCTCAGATGGTTAAGCGTCTGCCTTTGGCTCAGATCATGATCCCAGGGTCCTGGGATCGAGTCCTGCATCGGGCTCCCTGCTCCTTGCTTCTCCCTCTGCCTCTCTCTCTCTCTCATGAATAAATAAATAAAATCTTTAAAAAAAACTATAATTAATACATTTGTGTTGTTCAAGACCCAGAGTTTGTGGTAATATGGTACAACAGCAATAGGACCCTAATAGAATCTTAATCACAAGAAATCAGCCTTCATCTGCTATAGCATCATAATCACTGTTAAAACCACTATAATGCCCTATAATTCAAGTAGGCCCTGTAATAACAGTCCCTGTGTCTCAAATGTTTATGCATTCCTATTTTACTGACATGCCCACTGGGAAAGAATTGGAGATATATGTCTTCTCCCATGACATGTAAAATTAGGATGCCCTCTATTGAAGCCTATTAAACAGAATAAAATATGTTCTATTTCTTTGATGCCTCCCATTGGTGCAACTCAAAAACAATTAACCAGTCAAGTTGTAAAGCTGCTGTCATCTCTCCTCCCTACTGTTAGCCCAGTCACAGTCATGACCCAGGACTCGACATTACTGCTAGCACTACTGTTACCAATCTCCAGGCCCCTGAAAAAGAGACATAAACAGACTTCTGACAGAGAAACATGGCCGGAAGTTGAAGTGAGAGAGAAGGTGACCAGGAGAAAACAAAACTGAGGAAAATAAAAGGGCTTTTTAAGTAGGTAGAAGTGGTTTTTTGTTTGTTTTTTGTTTTTCAGAAAAGGCATCATCCACTTCTATTTGTCTCTGAAAGGCTGATCAATAGAGGATATATAGAATGGATGTAAATTAACACGTACTCAAAATTTCGATGTCTTATGTGTATTTTTTTTTTTAAAGATTTATTTATTTATTTATTTAAGAGAGAGTAGGCAGCTGCTCCCGCCAGGGGAGTAGCAGAGGGAAAGAATCTCAAGCAGACTTCCCCCCTGAGTGTGGAGCCCCACCCAGGACTTGATCTCATGACCCCAAGATCACGACCTGAGCCGAAATCAAGAGTCAGTCACTCAACCGACTGAGCCACCCAGGCCCCCTTCAATGTCTTATGTGTATTGAGAAAGATTCCCTGACCAAAATAAATAGCTGGAATAATCATGTTATGCTGTATTTAGACATTAATTATATGACAGAAAAGTATTTCACTTGGTCAGAAAATATCTTTTAGCACCACTAATTTTTAAGGCTAATT